GGGCATCCTCTCTGCCTTCCGCACAACCTAAGAAATGCTGGATTATTTAAACCTAAATTGGCTAAAATATGGACTAACTAAACGTTGGGTTAAATATAGTCCTATTCATTTAATTCTACATTTTAACCCAGTAGATGGTTTAATCCGTATTACACCCAGAATTAGGTTGAAATAACCCAGCATTTTGTTTTTGAGTGCAAGCAAAAATAAGACAATAAAACAGCCAAGACTCACACTCTAAACGTCTACACTCTGGGTTGCCGGATCTCAATGCTGGGTCATAAAGTGAAAAACCCAATGTTGTTGCTTTTTTCAGCTAAAATTAAATTATACTTTTAAACAAAACAGTTGGATTCGTCCATTATTTGACCCAGCGTTGGGTTAAACAGCAACCCAGCATTTTTTAGAGTATAAAACAGACTGAATAAACTCCACTTCGAGTCTAATATGCACATATTGTTCATTATAGTATCTGCAAGTCTCTTCAGATTTCCTAATGTGACTCAAATGAAACACACGTCATCCTTTCTGCACACTCTAAGAAATGCTAAACCCAAATTGGGTAAAATATGGTCTAACTAAACATTGGGTTACATTCGGTCCAATTAACTTAATTCAAAATATTAACCCAGAGGGTGGATTAGTCCATTTTACACTGAGAAATTGGTTGAAATTGAGTGCAAACAAAAAGAAGACACTCTAACACACAAGACTCGCACTCTATAAAATGCTGGGTTGCCGTATCTCAATGCTGGGTCATAAAGTAAAAAACCCAATGTTGTTGTTTTTTACAGTTAAATTCAAATGGCACTTTTTATACCAAAAGTAGTTTAGTTCATAATTTGACCCAGCGTTGGGTTAAAAAAATAACCCAGAATTGTTTTAGAGTGAACAAACAGACTAAATAAACTCTGAGTCTTGATGCACATTTCGTTCTGCATTACAGTATCTGCACGTCTTTTCAGATATCCTAATATGAATCAGATGAAACACACGGCATCCTTTCTGCTTTCCGCACACTCTAAGAAATGCTGGATTATTTAAACCTAAATTGGCTAAAATATGGACTAACTAAACATTGGGTTTGATGTAGTCCTATACATTTCATTCAAAATATTAACCCAGTAGATGGTTTAATCCATATTACACCCAGAATTAGGTTGAAATAACCCTTATTTTTTTAGAGTGCAATAAAAGAATACCAAAAAAAAAACACCTAAGACTTGCACTCTAAAAAATCCAGGGTTCCCGTCACCCAGTGCAGGGTCACAGAATGTAAAACCCAATGTTGTTGCTTTTTTCAGTAAAATTAAATTACACTTTTTAACCCAAGAGTTGTGTTTGCCAATTAAACACACAACATCCTTTCTGCTTTCCGCATACTCTAAGAAGTGCTGAATCCAAATTGGTTAAAATGTGGACTAACCAAACATTGGGATAAATGTGGTCCTATTAATTAAAAAAAAAATAACCCAGCAGTTGGTTTCGTCTGAAATAGGTGAAATAGGTTGAAATATCCCAGCATTTTTTAGACTGCAAGCAAAAACAAGACAATAAGACTTGCACTATAAAAAATACAGGGTTGCCGTAACCCAATGCTGCGTCAAAATATGAAAAACCCAAAGTTATTTTTTACAGTTAAATTTAAAATTTAAATGACACTTTTTAACCCAAGAGTTGTGTTTGTCCATTTTTTGACTCAGCATTCAGTTAAAAAAAAACAGCCCAGCACTTTTTAGAATGTACAAATAGACTAAATAAACTCCACTCTGTGTCTATACACACATATCGTTCTGCATTATGTCTTTTTCCTATCTTGTCTATCGGATGAAACACACAACCACAGATAAACAACTCACAATAGTCACATTGCAGGACTATCTTATTTATTAAAGATGAACAGAGATTATTAAAAAAATAGTTTTAATTATTTATACAATAATGACTATGGTGTTTTATATTTGATTATTCAATTTCTGCACATAAAGCGATGTTTATTCAGCTTTTATTTTTGCTCTGTCATATTTATACTGTATATGCTTGCAGTTTTTTATATTTTATCATCCCAAAATATTTGATCACCCCAGTCAACCTAAATCAATGAAATCTTTCCAAATAGAGCTATTCAAATCATATGGTGCAATTATATTCAGATTGCAAGCAAAACAAAATAACGCAATCTTAGATTTCTCCAATATCGCACAGCCCTAACATCTCTTCTGCTTTCCGCAAGCAAAAACAAGACTATAAAACACCCAAGATTTAGAAAGACCGCTACATTCTGAAGGCCCAAACCTGACGTCAATCACTGTGCACCATCTGTGCTTCTGGGAACTGCAGTTATATCTCCAAAACAACTCAAACTTTTATTCTGAAACATTTATATTTCTGTATCTGCAGTCAAACTTTGCAACACAATGACCGTCTGGCTTGAAAAACGCTATGAACTTGCGGCTTCTTTTCAGCGTCTCACACACACACACACAAGATGAAACCTGACTTTGCATTTTTCTGTTTAAACAAAGTGTCACATAAATAAACGGCGAGCTCAAACTAGGGGAGAAATTCAGACCACAAAACTTGTAATCAGCAGAGATCTATTCAGACTGGCGGCTGCTCTCAGAACTGTCTGCTTCATTCAAACACGTCCCACATATGATATGCAGACCATTCCTCCAAAACTGGAGATGCATTGAAATAAAAAAATGAAAGTTTGCTATTAATATAAAGTGTAAATGTGTGCATATCAATGTTAACATGCATGCATTTGATATAAGATATCTGCATAAGACTAAATAAATAATAAAACTATAAACATCAATAGTGATTTATTTAGATATTACATTCTATAGCTCATTTTAGTTTATTTCTTCCTATTTAAAACTAAATAGAAAACTGCTTCAAGTCCTTTTTGAGACACTTTAATGTGTCGCATTTGTATATCTGTTTATATATATATATATATATATATATATATATATATATATATATATATATATATATATATATTAAATATAAAAACTATACAGCATTCATTGCATTGCATTGTAAAACTTTTATTAATATATTTAGAAAATAATTGCATTTTACAGTGTTCATATGGCCCTTTCACTGTTCACAAGCACACAGCTTCACCTGCTTTTAATTCACGCATTAATTTCTGAATAATGCACAGCATTAATGATACTTCATATCAATCTAAATTTCCCTGAATTTCACTGCCAGTGAAAGCACGCTTTAAAGCCATATGAAATCATTTAGAGACGGAAAAGGCGACCGATTCATTACAGACTTTTGTCAAGCATTGGTTTTCTCTTATGCAAATGTAAATATTTATCAATTGTACTGGGGAATGCATGCTTCAGGAACCACCAAATCCATCAGGTTGCAGCTCGACCCATTTGAATGAGAATAAATAACAGAAGTAAACTTCCAGAAAATAAACTCTGATCGGCACCCGTAGCCAAGCGGGCCACAAAAAAACGCGACCGCGGCTCAAAACTCGCAAATAACCCGGCGTGACAGTATATAGATGATTATTAAAATAATAAACAACGTGTATAATACATCAGTGCATTATACTACAAATATACACCCATTAGTACAACATTAAATAGGATTGAAAACCTTTGTTGCTGATCATTTAAATAAATCGCAAATAAGCAACGCGCGCGGCACTGATAAAGTTGCGCGTTATTAATCATAACCAGCTCAATATTCCCGTCGGCTATTTTAACCAGACATAATTTCTCTTTAATCCTTCATCCGTGTTATTTAGCTCTCCAGAACTAAAATACAAAGTGAAAGCTTCACGATTGAGGTAAAGTTAGATTTATATCCGCACATCCATTCAGTGACAACTGGTGACATGCTCCTTACAGTGTTTACCATGGTACTTTGAACATTCGGTCTGAATAATCACATGCAAGTATGACTTGAAAACAAGATTAGCACTATTAAATTGACTGTGATCAATGTTGTACTTTGATAATCTATGATTTCACTATTTAGAATATGCAAAGAATGTTATATTATTAAGGTGAACGTCCGAATGTGTGAGAATTAAACCAACTCTTCCTCAATACAGCGTCACGTAGGCTGTAAAGTTCCCACAAATAGCGGTATATATATATATATATATATATATATATATATATATATATATATATATATATATATATATATA